CAGAGAATTGTTGACATTTACCTAGCCTGTTGAGTGGGTCTATCAAGATGTACAGTGGCAACAAGAATAAGAAGCTGCTGATATTTGCTTGGCATAAAAATCCCAGAAGCAAAGATGGACTGCGGGACAGACGGAGAGTGGCAGCAGATGGTAGGAGGTAGAAGCAGACAAATAGCGGAGGAAGGCAACAGGTGGGTTCGTCTTAGTGATCAAAGCGCTGTCAGGTGATTGGCAGTGGCAGCTGAGAAGGAGACAAACAGAAAAGAGGAGGTGGTGATGTTACGTGGAGGACTTAGTGTGGGAAACTCAACAGACTGACTGGTAGCAAGGACCAAGCAAGAACAAATGTTTCAGAGAAAGAGGCAACTGGGAACAACACAAATGTATCTGGTGTGCCTTCTGTACATTTGTCTTTCATTGCTAAACCTTTTTAAGGGACAGTTCAGATATATATTTTTCCTGTTATCTGTAGTTTTATTTGTTAATCTAGATTGTTTTGGTGTGAGTTTTGGAGATGTGGGCCGTAGAGATGTAGTCCCATTATATTGGAGAGACAACAGACATCTCTATGGCCGATATCTCCAAATCTCAAGGCCACTCGCACCAAAACAGTCTAAAATTGCTAAATAGCACTACAAGTAAGAGGAGAAATATGTAGGAACTTGAAAACCAGCCGTAGCATCGAAGCAAGCAGTGTCAGATTTTTCAAAAGGGAACCCTTTGTTTGATCTCATCCTGTATATGCAGATGATGATATTTCTATCTTAACAATTGCCTTATCTAATAAGGTTACACGAATAAACAGCATGTTTATTTTTTTTTATCCATTCATGTAAATCTGACAAATCTCTTGTCCGCAAAGTGTAATATATGTATAAAACGTTCTGCGTCAAAGGAGCATGTAATTCATGTATTGGCTTTGTCAATACATGAATTACAAAGTAGCATTTGGCTATTTTTGTAGGTTTTTTTGGGGAATGGTTTTCCAGATCCCATCCTGATGTACTGTAGGTGTTCTGCAAAGAGCTGTGGAGTCCTCTTCCTTTCCTCTGGCGGTGTGGGGGCTCAGCGTATGGGAGGTCGCTGTAGACTTGGTGGCAGAGAGATGACCTGGTTTTGGGGGGCTTCCTCCTCACCACAGGGGGTCCCTGCTGAGAGGGTCCCTAATCCAGCTAATCCTTTCTCTGCACACACACACACACACACACAAAGATGTGTTTAGCCCCACGCACCTACATACAGTATATTCATGTGTGCATGCACGAGGTCCCACACACACACAAAAGATCCGTTTAGCATCTTATAACAGATAGATCAGGTCAGATATTATATCCGACCTCTGCTAGTGCTGGCGAAAGTCACACGGGCTTCAAACTGATTCTAGATCTGCTGAACGCTGTTTTGCCGCTGGTGCATGTTTTCCCTGAAAGTGAGGGATGCTTCCGTTGTCAGGAGTAAGAGATGTGCAGGGGGTGGGGCTACGCTGTTGTGTGTGTGTTGCATGGAAAAGAGAGAAATTTGGCGAGAGGATGGGGGGGTGGGCTGGCTTTGGCAGAGGGGCCGGGCTGATTGCCATCATGATCTGGCCAATCACGGAGTAGAGCTGAATGGAGCAAAGAGAGAGAAAATGAGAGTATAAAGATGAGGGGGAGTTCAGAACTGAAAGGAGGGAGGGGGGGTGATGTCAGTTCCTTAGAAACCCACTTTCTCTCCCTTCGTCCCCACCACCCCCCTGTTCCCCTACTTTGAGAATAGGGGGGACCAGGGGTTAATGTTATGCAACACACTGAATACCCGCACTTAGCGCTCCAATACAGGGAGACACATTGGCTTGCTTCTCTTCTTCTCTTTTCTTCTTCTCTTCTTCTTCTTCTCTTCTTCCCTTCTCACTTTGATTCTGGTTTATTTTTGGTTTGTTTCTGATCATTCACCCGGCAGCACACACATGCAGATATAACACACATTAAAGCAGGTGTGTGAATTACGAGAGGGCTGGTGGAGGTCAGTGCTGACGTGATTGATCAAGTATTTGATTCAGTGATGCACTTTACAACAAGTTTTTTTCTATCCAAAATCGTTGTTGTTGTTGTTGTCAAAAATCCTGACTATACTTAGTTTACTATCACTGAAAATGATTGACTAATCGGTTTATTTGTCAATTGATGACAAAAGTTTGAAAAGTTGATTAAATGATAATTAAGTGATATTATTCAAGACATTTATTATTAAGGCTGGACAAGATATCGATATTTTATCGATATTGTGAAATGAGACTAGATGTCGTTTTAGATTCATAACAGGACATGAGTGTTGTCTTTTCCTGGTTTTAAGCATCACAGTAAAGTGAAGTGTCATTTTCTCAACTTACCAGACTTTTCTAGCTGTGCTATTATTTGCCTTTACCCACTTAGTCATTATATCCACATTACTGATAATTATTTATCAAAAATCTCATTGTGCAAATATTTTGTAAAAGCAAACGATCAACCCTACAATGTTGTCGCAGTATCCTTATCGAGGTAGCTGGTAAAAAATATCTCCATATTTTGTATTTGTCTATATCGTCCAGCCCTATTTATTGTGTGAAAATGTCAAATATTTGCCCGGTGCAACTCTCCAAATGTGAGAATTCCCTGTTCTGTGTGCATGTTTAAGGCCACACTTCAAAATAATGTGATGCAGAACAAGAAAGAGAAAGAAAGTTAGCGAGCAACGGAGCTGGTATAGGAAGCATTTGAAAATCAGTGACACTTTGTTTAAGGTCACAGCAGCCGAGCCTGGAGCGGGACACCTTCAAGATATCAACACATGCCGGGGTCAACCAGTTTTTTTTAGGAGACGGAATATGGGGATATATGTCATTGAAGAAACACAGCTGTGTGTACACACACACACACACACACACACTTGCTCGCCAGTGCGCCCGCGCACACTCACACATTTTCTTGGTCCAGCTGGGGTGTTAATTTCACCCCGAGGCTGTGCGAGTGTTGACCCCAAAACGCTGTAACCTCGTGAAGTGTGGAATTCTCTAAGCCCGAGGCCGTGATGTGCTGTTTCCTGTAGAGAAAGAGTACATTCCTTCGATGTGTCCCGTTCCTCGCTGCTTGCTGTAAACTACAAGGTCTTTGGGTGGCAGTCGAGAACTCTGAATGTGTTCAAAACACACAGTGAGTTCTTTCCAAGATCGTTCTCTCGTCTTTTTTTTTTTTTCAATCGGACCATTCCTCATCTCCTTGCACCTCTTTCCCAATACCCGTTCCCCCATGTTTCTCCATGGCAGTGCACCTTAACCAAGCCTCGGGGCGATATGCTCTGCCTTTTGAGCGTTGAGTGTACCCGACAAGTCGACTTGTTAGTCCACTGTCAGTGTGTGTCGGGTCTAAATCAGTTCCATGCGTGCTCTTTTGAAGGGAGGGCTGGTGTAACGTAGCCGTGTAGCCGGCCAAGCAGCGGAAAGCATGTCGCTCCGGTTAGCCTAGGCCTGCTATTAATGATTAGTATTATAAACATGCGTTCAGACAGGATCAGATGAGAATGCTGTTGGGGTCCAGAAAAAAAGAAATCAAGTGTGTTCTCCTAATGCCCCAAGACATGGCCCCCTCCCTCCCTGTTCCCTTGGTCTGACTGGGTGGTCCGGCTCAGAAGAACAGGCATGCTTACGTTCAACTTTAATGCCATTACAATGGGCTGAAGATATTCAATATATATGCCTGCTGTTGCACGAATCGAGCGGAATTGTTAAATTGGATTAAGGCATAATAAAACGTTAGTTTTCACACAGTCGGCTTTCTCTCACCGGGCATTTTTCATGTTGGGTGTGTGTGTGTGTGTGTCTGTGTGAGAGATCAAGTGAAAGAAGGTGACCATAAATTGCCTGAGCTTTCACCGAGCGGTTTCACTCACTGTTGATGGAAGAGCTCAAATCCTCTGCTCATAAATCAGACACAGATACACCGAACTGAAGGATGCACACACACACACACACACACGCACACACACAAATCTCAGGCTGCATCGAGTATGTATGTGCTTGTACCGAGCACAAAAACACATTTCGCTTTAAAGTTTATGGGCCATTTTTGGGGGGTATTCGGTGTTTACCCTTGCATTTGACTGAAAATGTGTGCATGCTTGGATGACAGCAATTGGCTGCGTTTGTCCGTGTGTGTTTGCGAGAGAGACTTTGCCAAACTTGCCTTGGCTGTGCTGGGGTGGAGCAGGGCAGCTAAAAGGGCCTGAAAGGCTGCTTTTGTAGCTCGGGCTAGCTCAGAGCTCAGAGCGCACGCACAGGGCTTAGCCCCACCACGATACTGGGAGCAAAGCCTGGAGGACAGCCTCTCTCTCTCTCTCTCTCTCTCTCTCTCTTCACTCTCTTTATCAAGCACACTGTCACACAAACATATGCAGTCAACGTGATCTGGCGCTGCTGAATTGTTAGCCATAAATTGGGGTAGAAAGATCGAGCTGTTTTTGTGAAATGTGGATTTGTTTGAATGATGTTACTCTTCTGGATTCAAAGGGGTTTGGATGTTTGGCTTTGCTGTGGTGCAAGCTCACTGTAAGCAAAGTGCTTTTGTTTGAGATACGAGTGTGATAAGGGCCTGGGCTCAGGATCACTACTTGAGTCACAGATGTTCACGCATGCACGCGCACACACACATCATGTGCTGAAACATCTGTAGCTCAAGAAGTGATCCTGTCTCAAATCAAACCCAAAGACATTTAGGTGAGAAAGGTTAAGATTTTAGTTTGGTAGGATTTGATGGTTGTATGATGTTGCTTGAACACTCGAACAAATTTCAAATCAGTTTATATCCAAATGATGAAATTCAGTAAAAGCTGAAAAGGATGAGCCATAAATATATACTGACTAATCATCTAATTGATCAACTACACATGCATATTTGACAGTAAGAATGGCTGTCGGATATTTGCACAGAGGTTGTTTATTTTTTTTTAAATGTAAGTTTTAACACATTCACCCTCCCTTTGTCCAGTCGGCGGGCGCGTGAACCGGGAACTGACGTACACGCGGCAGAATATAGGCGAGGAGGCCATGTTCAACCCTCAGCTGATGATCCAGACGCCGCGGGAGGACGGAGCCAATATTTTAACGGTGGACGCGCTCCTGCAGCACCTGGAGTCGGCCATCCGAGCCAGCAGAGTTCATGTTTACCTTTATAACAGGTAACTAACTATTCCATGTCTACCTCTGTTCCAGGTTTGCTTCTTGTCTGTCGGTCGTCATCATATAATCATCATATAATCATCATATAATCATCATATGTTCCAGTTCTGGACAATTCAAGTCAATTTCAGTTTTGTCTCATACTGCAGTTCAATGCAATCAAATAACAAAAGCCCTGCAAGAAATACCCGAAGCTTTAAGGTGGTTATTTATGGTGTTTAAGATTTACCTGTATTGAGTTATGTCTGGGCTAGCAGCACCTCATAATGATGAAAGATGTATTATCCTTCTTCGATCAGTCTAGGCCTAAGGGGCTCATGGTGTTGTATGGCTATGACAAAAACTGAACAGAAACTCTTTTGTTCTCATTTTCAGACAATGGAAATTAGAAAACCTATGCTACAAATCAGGAGAACTAGTCACAGAAACTCATTATATTGATCAGGTAAGATGCAAATGCTTCAATATGGTTCACTTCATTTTACTCTGGATCATATTGAAACATGACTAGTACAATAGAACAATCCACATTTTCTGTCTCTGATGTTTTTTTGCTATATACGCATCCTGTTGTCAATGTGTGTCAAACCCGCTGTGTGTCGGCATGTGTTTGTCCAATTAGGTCATTGAAAAGCTTCATCCCTGCCTCATCATCACCCCTTTGGACTGTTTCTGGGAGGGAGCCAAGCTCCAGTCTGGAATGGTCTATCTCCCGTAAGTATGCAAAAAAAACCTCAGAATCTGTGTTTAATGACGCCTCGGCACAATCTCAACACGCCAACGCAGCATGTCGACAGATCCACTGATCTCCTTCAAGGTCAGATTACTGTTGTTAACGATCATATGATCAGAAGGGTTTTCCTCACCGTGACGCCAGTTGGCAAACTGATTGGGGACAACAAGGTCTTAATCGCTGAGCTCATGAGTGCTCAGCGATCAAGGGGTTATGGAGTTAGTGTTTATGGTTACAGTATTTTTCAGATTGTTGTCAAGAGACCGAGAAGGAGGAGATCTGGATCTCTGGATCTTGTTTTTACCCCTTTTAATAGAAGCTGCCCAAACACGCTCAGGCCATCCAAAGAGACACCACAGAGGAACAAGAGTGCATGTGCATGTGTGTGTGGGTGTGTGTGTCGTCCCCTCTGAAGGCTCTATTGTAGTGGTTGCTGGCATGCGTATCGCTGGTGATCGTTTCTCTCCAGCCCTGGGCCTCACACCATTGTCTGCCCCTTCTGTCGCTAATGGCCTGCTGCTACAGTAATACTCAGCAGGCCTTTACCTCTGCATGTGTGTGTGTGTGTGTGTGTGTGTGCCATTGCCATCAGTGCATGCGTGTGTTATGTGGACGTGTGAAAGTGTATCAGCTTGAGTCCGTGTCATCAGAGTATGTGTGTGTGTGTGTGTGTGTGTGTGTGTGTGTGCGTGTGTGTTGCCCGTTGGTCTCAGATGGTAAAAAAGGTTTTTACTATGTTCTGGTTGGAAGGCTGGGAATAATAACACAAGCCTGGTTAAGCACATACAATGTAGTCTGAATGAGAGAGAGAGAGATTCAGAGAAAGGGAGATTGGAATGTGTGAGGCATAGAGAGACAAGGACTGGTTTTGGAGCAGGAATTCAGCTCTTTGCCATTGCATGATGGGAATTAGTCTCCATTTATTGTTTTCTGTCACCTAGCAAAAAAGGGATTACAAAAATGTTTAGAGTGGTAAAGTTTGGAGGTAATTGCACCCAAATATCTGACAAATGCAAAAACCCTGAAATACACACCAACACACACACAATGGCGACAAAACAAGAACTAACAATATATTCTAAAATGAAGTTAGACAAGTAATTGCACCTGCATGATGAACAAAAGCACAACACCCAGTGTAGATAACATCCAGTGTGTTTGCTCTTAAAGGGACATTCCAGCTTATTGTCACAGTTTTCATTCATCATTTCCATTGATTATGATCACTAACTAGCTCACATAACAAGAAACACTAGTGCTCAATAAGAACAGTTGTAAACATGTCATCAGCAAACCAGATTACCTAAACCACTTAATTTGGAGGCAAAACTGAAAGTGAGCTCGACCACAATTTTAGTAATCAATTGTGGTTAGCTTGATAGCCCAAAGTTGAACCAGGAAGTCGGCCTGTAAACTGGGATGAATGTTTAGAATGTACAGCGTGGGTAATCATTTTTCAGTTCACTTTGGTTTTCTCTTCCAAAAGGAAGGATGGCTTAAAGTACAGATAAATGTTTCCATAAAAAATTTTTTTAAATGCCCAGAAACAGAAACACAGCATCTTAAAACATGGTTGAAGTCATGTTTTAACAGTATTCCTACTTACTGCTAACTCTGCAGAGGTAAAGACCCTTTGCAATGGACCAACTTTGACCCCAAGGAGTTCCTTGAGGATTTGCGAAGGGTGAATTTTCCCGTGGAAAGCTTTAAGGACATGTTGGAAAAGGCAGATGTTGGACACGGCTACATGGATAGACCCTGCCTTAACCCTGCCGACCCTGACTGCCCCCTCACTGCGCCCAATAAGAACTCAACAAAGGTAGGCACACACACACACACACGCAGTCTCAAGCTTTGGCCTTGGAGTACACACAACGCTGTGCAACATTTTGTACGTTTTAGTAAAAACATTAAGTCTTTGGTTTGAGACTAGCTTCTGACAGTTATTTTTTCGCCTGTTGCTTTTATTGCACCAGCCAATCAACGTGGCGCGGGCCCTGAGCGGCGGCTGCCATGGTCTGTCCAAGAAGTACATGCACTGGCAGGAGGAACTGATCGTGGGAGGGACCACCAAGAACGGCAGCGGACCCCTGCTCAGGTAACATACCCACACTTACACATACACACCCTCATAAACACCGTGGTGATCACTGCAGGGCTTATTCTGAAAAAAGAGTGTGTGTGTGTGTGTGTGTGTGTGTGTGTGTGTGTGTGTGTGTACTTCTTTTTTTGTTCTTTTATGTGCTCCGAAACAGCGCGGGTATGCGTGCATGTGTGCGGTGTGCTGTAAATCTTGCAGTCATTAGCAGATTCCAGTGAAATCTTAGAGCGCCAGCTGTTCCTGCTCAGCTCTGGACACTCTGCTTGGACACTTCCCACTCATACGCACACAAACATGTACACGGAGGGCTCTATTGCCGGGCTAGTTTGTCCGAATGTTCAGCGATTTGGGGTGCATGGACAAGCATGGCACAAGCACCAGGACAAAGCGTAAAGATGATGTAGTATACATATGGATGTATAATATACACATTTTTATGTGTGCGATAAGCTGTATGCTCTCCAGAACACAACACATTACAATCTGTCAGTCCCCGTTTTGTTCAAGATTTTTATGTAAATACAAAACGTATACGGGAATAAAAAACATGCACATTTTATCAAGCAATGAGAAGCTTCCCTTTTAACAGGGGAAAGCTACACAAGTTATCCAACATTTTGCTAATGGACCACTTATTTTAATGTGAAATTACAGTTTGGATGGCATGTACACACCAAGTTAAAGCCCCCCCCCCCCCCCACACACACACACACACACACACACACATTTACACGCAAACTGGCTCCAGAGTACAGTGGGGTGCGTTGTTTGTTTTGTGGTTGTGTTTTTTCCTGGCACGATTGGGTCATTAGGGTGTCTGTGCGTGCCTGCCTGCCTGCCTGTGTGTGTGTGTGTGTGTGTGTGTGTCTGTATGTGGTTTAGTTGTTCTGTCCATTGGGCTGTTACTGCTGGCACTCAATTTCTACATCTTGTTTACTAATGCCTCATTTCCACTGCACGGTTCGGCTCGACTCCACCACACTCACTTTCAGGACCAGGTGCTTCTCTGTTCTCTGTTCCGTCAGTGTAAGCGGGATTTCTCTGCTAATCGCCGTAGCGAGACAGACCGCGTTAAAAACTGACATCCTCTTCGACGCCACACTCTCTGAATCATTTCATCGGCGACCAATCAGCAGAATGTCTGCGCTTGGTCACGGCATAGCTGACATAAATCTAACATTAATTACACTTTTAAAATCGACATTAGCTCTGCTATATAGAAATGGCGATCTTATGCACGATATCCCGTGTACCGACATGGTACCAAAAAAAGCACCAGTCAATAACTTTTTTTAATGGAAGAGTCGAGCTGCAGCCATGCCACGCAGTGGAACTGCCACCATTACCGTCATTATCACCATATTACACAGATCACATTCATAAAGAGAACAACGAGCCAATGCTTGCTCCCTTGGTTCCTAAAATTTTAATTCACATAGACTGACTCGACGACTGTTCTTTAGTAACTTTTTAATGACTCATACGTTTTCTTTCTTTATTACCTCCCTGCTGTGTACATCGAGGACGGTGCATTCCTCACCACACTGGATCCCACGGTCCTGTTAAAATCTGTCAGAACATGATCAGGAGTCTTGCAGATTAGGACCAGATACCCATTAAATGGGATCTGGCACTTCCTTTGTCACTATCAAATCCAGTCCAAAAACCTTTGTGCCATCCAACTTTGGAATAGAGAAGAGATAAGATAACATCTGGACCTGTATTTCTGAGGCATGTTGGTTCAGACACAAAAAGGCCACTGTTTACGTCTAGTAGCACTGTATATTTATTTTGATGGCTCCTGTTGCCGTATCATATATCATTGCAAGGAATATTAGCCGTGATACTGGCTGAAGGAGAAGAGCTTTGAATCTAAGGGAGAGCATGTTGGACTAGGGGAAGATTGTTTCGGACAAATAAATATGTAAAAACACATCTCTGTTGTCTTTATTAGTGTCTTTTTAATGGGTAGATAAATAATAATAAGTAATGTGATCGAGGTTATGATGATGATCATGATGATTGTTTAATCAGGTTAATGGTTGTTTAAAACAAACACTTGTCTTTGGGCTCTGGGAAATTGTTTTGGGCATTTTTTCACAATTTTGATCGCTGATCAATCACTAAATCAGAAGAATCCACAGATTACTTGAAGCGGTTTTGAAATTAAGCAACGGTCTGGCCTTTTGGTTTGATTATTCTATCTTTTATGCTCCTCTCGTCTCCCGGTTGGTGCTCCTTATCAACTTTGTTATTTTGACAATCACACAATCTGCAAATACTTTATCTTTGGCAAGTGTTCAAAGCTTGCCAGTATTTTTACTCCTCGTCTATAGACGGAGTTCTAACAACCCAAAGCTTTTAATTCTAGTCGGTGCTGGGAATCCATCATCTTTGATGATTATTTGCACAATCCAGAAGCCAGCTCACCACCTTGCTGATCTTCTCGTGTAAACATGATCTGTCTGTTTCTTCTCCCTCTTTCATCCTTTCCATCTTTTCCTCTCTCCTTTCCTCCTTTCCAGTGCCCAGGCCTTACAGACCATGTTCCAGCTGATGACTCCCAAGCAGATGTTTGAGCACTTTCGGGGCTACGAGGAGGTTTCCCACATCAACTGGAATGAAGAAAAGGCTGCAGCTATACTAGAAGCCTGGCAGAGGAAATACTCTGAGGTAAGGGCCAAAGCGCTCAGAAACGAGAGAGATCCAAAAAAGAGGGCACCGAAAGAGAAAAGAAATCTACCCTAAATCCTCTACGACCACATCGTAAATCAACGACCGGATACAGGTGAACATGGAAAGGCCATCCAAAGCCCGGGCCCCTGACAGATACTAGCACCAATGGTGGTGTGTGGTAATAGGCTAAAGCTTTCCTCTTAATGCTCAGTAGAGAGGAGCAATAGAGCAACAGGGTGAGCGTGTCTGGAATACATTAAGGGAGTGCTGGATATCTCTCTTTCTCTCCTGCGCTCTCTCTCTCTCTCTCTTTAACTCGCGTACAAACACACATGCAAACACACTCAGAAGTTCACACACAATCGCTTTCCCAGCTGTGGCCCCATTGGTGGCTCATGTGTGTGACATCATCTGGTCTTTGTTTTGGGGGCCCCCCAACCTCTGTTCGACATAGTGTGACCTTGTGTGTGTGTGTGTGTGTGCGCGCCATTCGTCTTGGGGCCCAGAGATCACAGATAGCTAGAAAATAGGTGTGATCGTTTATTTGAATACAGCGGGTTTTTTTATCTGCGGCAATCAAAAAAGAAGTAAAAGATGACAAATTTCTGTCTTATATTGGCGTGTATTACTCACGGTTAGGCGTGCCTGCATGAATAGTATGTGCATGCATGTTGGTATGCGCCGGACACATGTGCGAGTTCACACGTGTGTGTGTGTGTGTGTGTGTGTGTGTGTGTGTGTGTGTGTGTGTGATCTATTGCGTGTTTCCTAATGTGTGTCAGCCAGCATTGCTCCCCACTGAGCAGTAACTGCATTTCAATGTTGAAGCCATCTGTCTGCCCTGAGATAGTGAGAGAGGGAGAGGATGGGTCATGGTACTGTCTGCAGATTCCTCCAAATACCAACAGAGGCAGAGCTCATTATTCAGGGCTGCCATTTGTCTTTGTTGTCTTCAAAGACACACAGAGAGAGATGTACTTGTTCTGCACCTTGAGACGTACTGTATGCTCCGTGTTATTTATCAACAAACGGGCTAGAGAACAGATTGGAGGCGCAGTTGGTCTGCCATCTGAGGTGCAACTTTTATTGAATCAGTGAGATGCTTTCTCTCAATAATACACATTTAAGTTATAATATTTGCTACTGGAAATCAGGCAGGATGCACTCATCAGTTCTACATGTAAAATAGGTGCAAATCTGAGCTGGTATATTGAGGGAGAAATATGATAGGGTAGACAAATCAATTTTATTCTGCAGAAACTTGCACTGATTTAGGTCAGAAACAAAACTCTTAGAAAGAAAAAGAGAGCAGGAGCTCATTATACATGAGCACAATATTTGACCGTTCAAATCAGGGAGTTCTGGCTGTGTGGTCATTGAACTAGAGCTGCGCTGTGGGAGAGCAAACGCACTCCTGCCAAATTTACATTTTTGTGGGATGGATTTTATCCATTCATAAGCAGCCTGTTCAAGCTTGTTGTTTTAATGATATTTCAAATCTTTTTCGTTGCCTTGGAAGTTTGTTCAAAGACTCTCTATCTATTCTTCCTTACTGATCACTTAATGAAACCATTTTTAATGTTGCTTTTCCTCTCTTTCTACCCGTGCCTGTTTGCCTCTCTCTAGGCGGTGCTGCAGAGTGTGGCAGCAAACTCGTCTCAGAAGGTCTTGTCTTTCACCAGCACCACTCTGGAAGATATTCTCAAGTCTTTCTCCGACGTCAGTGTCATCCGTGTGGCCAGTGGATACCTGCTGATGGTGAGAACGGAGCCAAAAAAAAAGCTTTGAGCAACCCAGGTCTAGCCTTGGATTACAGAAAGCTAAAAGAGGCGGGAAGACGTTTAATGACTGGCTGATAAATGGACTTCTTGTTTGCTGTTCCCAGCTGGCCTATGCGTGTCTGACCATGCTACGGTGGGACTGTGCCAAGTCTCAGGGGGCTGTAGGGCTGGCGGGTGTCCTGCTGGTGACACTGTCTGTGGCAGCCGGCCTGGGCCTCTGCTCTCTCCTGGGCATCTCCTTCAATGCTGCCACCACACAGGTAACTCAGATTAACACAATGAGATACAATGTTTACCATTGTCATCCTTTAACAACCTTTATACAAAATAGGAGATATTTTCAATGATGATGCATGGTTTTGGCTACGCTGCATTTAGTTTGTACCCGTCCAAAAGAGGGGTACAAAGAGAAATTCGTACAACATGTAACATTCTGTATGCTAGGAACTAAAAAAGGACCAACACAGTTGTGGTCCTCCTTATGGCTCATGGAGCTTATGAAGCTTGCATGTGTGCTACAGGTGCTCCCTTTCTTGGCTCTGGGTGTTGGAGTGGATGACGTCTTCCTCCTCGCCCATGCCTTCAGTGAGACCGGACAGAACAAGAGGATCCCATTCGAGGTGAGGCAAACGTCCACGCTGTTCCGACCCATTCTGCTGTCTTAACTCCTTCATGGAGGAATGTGTGAAAGAGCCTGTCGGTGCCTGTGATGTAGCGTCTAACAGCCTGCTGCATGTGCCACACACTCAGCCTGCTTATCTAAGCAATGCTCCATATTCAATATGTCAAAACAGAACGGGGTCCATCGCGCTATTAATTAGATCATAAATCAGAATACAGAATTAAAAACACTAAAAGAAAAAGAATAACTTGCAGAAACCAGTAAATAAAGTCTATGTTTTTATATGTACCGTGTGTGTGTGTGTGTGTGTGTGTGTGTGTGTGGAGCAGGATCACTTTTCATCTCCAGAGGGGGGGGGGAAACATAGGCATGTATTTGCTTGTTTTTGTTTTCCCCCCCGTTTCCCTTCCCTTCCCTTCCAGCCTTGCCTCCCTCATCCCCCAACTTCCTTTGTGTGGCTCTGATGAAAACTAAACAGAGCTGAACCTGATCTCTCCTGTCTGAAACACACACACACACACACACACACACACAGATGCACACGCCTGCAGACACTCCCTGTGTGGTCCTGCACGTCCTCAAATTGCTGGCAAACCTGGTGTGTGCATGCTTATCACTAAATAATAATAAAAAAGGCCAATCAAAAGTCTTGATTACACAAAGAATCTCATTTGTTTTCAGCGACGGCATGTCATCTCTTTCAACTTTTATCTTATTCTTCAAACAGAAGTAGACAGGCCCAGGTGGCTTATTTAAGAGCACTTCAGGGCTTTGAGAATCATTGCAATCACTGTCAGTCATATCAGTATTATGATAATTGTACATAATCTTAAGTATTACACAGTTGCCTTCGGCTATAATCTGATCAAGAGAGTCGAGTTTCATTGCTTTTCCTTTCATCTACCTGTCTGTCTCTGTCTGTCAGGACCGTACGGGGGAGTGCCTGAAGAGGACCGGGGCCAGCGTGGCTCTCACCTCCATCAGTAACGTCACAGCTTTCTTCATGGCAGCCCTCATCCCCATCCCGGCGCTCAGAGCCTTTTCTCTACAGGTATGCCTGGTAGTGAGTGTGTGTGTGTGTGTGTGTGTGTGTGTGTGTGTGTGTATTTATGTGTGTGTGTGGCTGTCTGTCTGTGTGAGAGAGCTCAGTCGTGTGGGGCCCCTCTCACTAATATTCCTGTTCCAGTCCTCATTGGTTCCAGATTTCTCCAGACAGTTGTTTTATTGATTTCTTTCATCGAACTGAAAGTGTGTGTGTGTGTGGGTGTGTGTCTGTGTGTGTTTTGTTAAATCCATCCAGCCCTCTGCCTCCCTCTTTGAGGCTGTTTAGTGGTGGGCCCGGTGTCTGTCCAGATTGCGGCTGAGGTCCATGTAACCGAATCCCTCTGTGTGTGCGTGTGTTGCATATCCTCACGCTCATGTGCATGTGTGCGTTGTGAGTTGTAGTACCTGTGTGGGAGGTTTGGAAAGCAATGGTCTAGCTGTTTGTCTGTGTGTGTGCACATGCGTGTGTGTGTGTGTGTGTGTGTGTGTGTGTGTGTGTGTGTGTGTGTG